TAATTTAGAGCTTCTCTTTGGATATGACCAAGTCAGGACATGTGCCAGACTCAAAATGTGCTGCTTGCAGACCTAGATTTTGAGGGGCATTACCCCTAAACAAGTTTGGTCCACCTATGTTGTAGCTACCTGACACAGTGACCTTTCCAGGACAGCCCACATCCAATGCCTGGTTACTTGCAGGCATTGGCTCTAGGTGTCCTCTAAAGGCTCATTCTCCTAATTTCCATTTGGACTAACTCTGAAGGGCTGTCTTAGCTTCACAGCTCCTGGTAGGTGAAATGAAACCTATGCTGAGACTGCAAGTCTTAGCATACTCGGGTTGTTATATAGCAAAATACCAAACACTGGCTAGCTTACAGACAACAAACATTTATTTTTCCCAAGTTCTTGAGGCTGAATGGTTCAGGATCAAGATGCTGGTATTTGGCATTCCTCCAAGATGGCAACCCCTCACCATGTTTTAATGGGGAAAAAAGATAAATGAGCTCTTTTGAGTATATTTTGAAAAGGACTTTGCCTTCAAGATCTAAGTACCTCCTAAAAGATTCTATGTGCTAATACAGTCATTTTGGTTTTTAGAATTTTAGCATATAAATTTTGGGAGCATTCAAACATTCAGACCATTGCACTGAATTATGTCCTAATTTATCCCACTGTCCAATCTTGCTTCCTACTTTTTCACAGATGTTATTTCCAAGAAAACTCCCTAATTATCTTCTTCAAAAAATATTCAGCTTAGAGTCTACTTCCATGAGACACCTAGCATTTGATAATATGTACCAAGAGAGGTTAGAAAAAAAGAACAGACAACAAAATGAGATATTAAAGTGGGATCATTCACTACCAGTTGTAATGAAAACCCTATCACTATTGGTAGAGAAAAAACAAATAGCCCCTGGGATGTGATAATTTAAATTTCTAACACATTCAGTGATGGTAAATGATGATGATAGTCTTTTGAAGGGAAATAATTAGTTATTAGGATATAGCATATATTTGATCAATACGGGAAAAGTAAAAATTATGACCACAGTAGAGGCACATGGTTTTTTCCTGCAGAGTTAATGCATGGGAGAAAATAATAGATAAGTGAGGACTGCTGTCTATCAAATGAAGGTAAATCGTAAAAGTGAGAATCTCCTTGGAAGTTTTATCAGAAAAGAGGGTCTTGATTCAGACCCCAAGAGAAGGTTCTTGGATTCCACACAGGAAGTAATTCAAGGTGAGTCAAAGAGTGCAGTGAGAAAAGATAATTTATTGAAAGCTATGCCATTACAGATGAGGGCATCCTCAGAAAGCAAAGAGTTGAACGCACCACCTTAGTTTTAAGTTTTTCTTATATAGGAGTCTTGTCTTTGTAAAGATTAGTTAAGCTGTGTCTACTCGTGGGTGGTCAGACAACAGGACAAAATTTATTATTCCATTTATTCCAAGAAAACTATCCCTGACACTTTCCTGTGTGAATACATCAAAAGATAACTGTTATTATCTAGAAAGCATATCTTGTTTGAATATTGGGACATCTGGACTCTTCATTATAGGTGTGCATTTTTATAGGGAGCTGAACTTAAAATGACATTACTCTGTCTCTCCTAGGCTCCTGCTCCCCTAACTGTAGCACATACAGAGACTCCCTTCATGCAGAAGCACTGTGTCCTCGCCACCAAATGAATCTGAATCATAAGACCAGGATTAATTTTAAAATAAACCATTAAGTTCTAGCTGAATTCTCAGCCTAGTCTGATCACTTACCAGGTTCAGGATCTCAGTTTAGATACAGTGAAATTATAAGACATTTGAGAAATAATTCACTGTAGTTAAATCATCAGTTTCTAGACTCCCCTGAACTCTGAAACTGCAAAAGTATTCCACTACTCTCTGTTAAGGGATAGAATTTTTCCATTGTTTGAAGATGATATAGTGTCCTCTTCCTTGCAGGACATTTTATGCCCTTCTTAAGATTTGTGCTTGGTATGATTTCAATTATTTTAAATGTATTCAGACTTGCTTCATGACAAAGGTTGCTGCTGATCTTAGCATGTTCCATGTAAAAAAATGAGTGGAATATATATTCCATGGTTGTAAGTTGGAGTGTTCTACAGAGTGTTAGGTTCAATTGGTCAAGTGTCAAGTTTAAGTCCAGAGTTACTTTCTTAAGTTTTTGCCTCAATAATCTAGCTAATGCTGTCAGTGGGGTGTCAAATTCTGCCACTATTATTGTTTGGTTGTTTAAGTCTTTTAATAGGCCAAGAAATACTTGTTTTATAAATCTGTTTGCACCAATGTTGGATGAGTATACATTTAGGATAATAAAAGCTTCCTGTTGGATTGTAACTTTTATGATTATGTAATGCCATTCATTGTCCTTTTAAATTTTTATGCACTTAAGTCTGTTTATTTAAGAATAGAAACTCCTCTTTTTTATTTTCTGTTTGCAGGAAAGATATTGCTTTACCCTTTTATTTTGAGCCTATCATATAATTACATGTGAGGGGTTGATTGAATATATCACACTCTTTTGTCTGGCTTATCAGACACTCTGTGTCTTTTAAGTGGTATGTTTACCTTGTGTACATTCAGTGAGAGTTCCTGTATGTGCTGCAAGGTTAGTATTGATATTTTTGATTGTGATTCTGTCATTGTGTTGTTTAGCCTCTTGTTCTACGTGCATGTTTGCATAGTTGCTTTAGAGTGCTTGTGGACTATGTGTTTAAGTGTGCTTTTGTGGTAGAAGGTGTAATATCTTTTCAATCTATGTGTAGCACCCCCTTAAGGACTTCTTATGGGGCAGGTCTAGCAGAAACATATTCTTTTGGCATTTGCTTGCCAGAGAATTTTTTTTTTCTCTTTCCCTTCAGATTTTTCACTGTACCTAGAATCCAACCCCAAGTAACCAAAAGAGGGAGCTAAGAACAGGGTCCTAGTTTACTCCAGGGCTGCAGTGTGCAGCTTACAAGTGCCCAACTGGTGACTATGCTCAACACTTGAACAGGGAAGAAGACTACATTCTCAACAGTCTTGGAGAGCTGGGACACACAAACGCATGGGCTTGTGTAGGTTCCTCCACAGGGTTGTTTCAGTAGGGTGTGGACTATTTTTCTACCAGATCTCTCACCAAGGGAGCCACAATAGACCTTACTATATCTTCAAATATATTCTCCAAGTGGCTTATTCTCTCTACTTTTCTCTCAGAAAGGCCAGTGAGTCATGTGTGTGTATATATATATATATATCTGTACATTTCTCAGAGGTTTTGTTCCTTTTTCTTATTTTTTTTTTCCTTTATTTTTGTATGACCTGTTGATTTGAAGAACCAGTCTTCAAGAAGGAGCAGGTCACCTACACAGTGAATCCCACCTAGCTAGCAGCAGACCTCTCAGAAGGAAGTAAGCCAGAAGAGACTTGGGGTCTGTTTCCAGTGTCCTTAAAGAAAAGAAATTCCAACCAAGAATTTTGTATCCTGCTGAGCTAAATCTGTTGGTGTAAAATTCTTTGAATTGATCTCAGTTGAAAGTAGTTGTGTTTTAAAACAATTCTATGTACATATTCTTTCTCAAATTTGAAAAATTTTTAGCCATTATTTCTTTAAATAGACTTTTTATCTCAATCTTTTCCTTTTCTTCTATGAGAGCTCTCATAATGCATAACTGGTCAGCTTAACAATGTCTCATAAATCTCAGGCTTTCTTCACTTTATTATCACATTCTTTTTGCTCCTCTCCCTTAATAGTTTCAAATGGCCAATATTTTAAAATTCACAAATTTTTTTCTAGCTGATCAAGTTATTTATTGAACTTTTCTAGCAAACTTTTCAATTTGGTTATGGGGTTATTTAGCTCCAGAATTTCCATTTGATTCTTTTCTACACTTTTTATGTCTTTGTTGATATTGTTAATACTCTTATATATGTATTATTTTCCCAAATTTTAAAAACTTGTGTTTGTTCTTTTAGCCAGTGAAGCATCTTTAATTATTTTTGAAATTTTTGATAGGAATTTAATATATTTTGAATTTTGTGACAGGTAATTAATAGATCTTTCTTTATTTGGGGTTGAAAAAAGGTTTATTTTGTTCCTTTAAATGGGTCTTGCTTTCCAGTGTCTTCGCATGCTTTGCATTTTTCCTTTTTTAAATTTGAAATTTAAAGAAATACCCACATCTACACATCTCCAAATCTTTAAGTACTGGCTTAGTGCAGGGGAAGACCTTCATCAATCACCCCAGCTAAAGATTCTGGGAGCTTTGCAATCCATTCCAAGAGCAGTATCCTCTCTAGAATTTTGAATGTAATTACAAAGTTAAACTGTTTTTTTGTTTGTTTCAGGATTTTGTAATATTTCCTTTCCCTGTTGTCATTTTGTAGTAACAATGTAGTTTTTCTGCTACTGCCCCAAACTGTCACACTGCCTTTGTTCCCAGGCATTCAAATACTGGGGTTTGTATAAGTGATTTAAGATTGGTGACAGAAATCAGTCCCCTAAGGAGCCACATTTAGAACACATTTCACTCTTCTTTCAATCCTGTGGGAAAAGTGATGACTAAGGATTTTTTTTACTGATTGTGTAATGCTGTTCTGGCTAGGGAAGGGTCTGTAGAGAGTACATGATCAAACATTTTTAAGATATTTCAATAAAATTCATCTTGGCTTTGCTCTTTTCTGGGGTGCCACAACCTATTCACTGATTTCTGGAATTAGCATCATGGCAATTTTGTCTATATGATGTTGTTAAATCTCTTTCTGCATGGGAGAAAAGAGACAGGGAATTCCTATTCTGCCACCTTTAAAACATCAATTTTGTTACCACACCATGTGCAAATTGTAAAGACTATGTGATGAAAAGATGGCAATTTCTGTTATTTGTTAGGTCTAGAAGTGAGATTAATTACTAAAAATTCCTTTGAGATTTTTCTTTGTTTGTAATAATTCATATAATTTCAAAAACAAGAGATGATATTACAGGAAAATTTCTGAAATAAGATGAGATCAAATAGCATTGATTTGGTGACTGTGTAATCATTCCTTTGACCCTTGTTGAATACTTAGAATGTGTTATTTAATTAATACACTTTAATACTTGTAACATACACAGATAGGATTATAATTTAATTTACATCTCCTCACACTATGTTCAACCTAAAGTGAACATGGTCCAAAGGCTTGTTAATAGCTTAATAGTCTGAAATTTAGAACATCTGTGAGCTTCTTACATGAGAGAACAAACTTGGGGAGGCTCCTGATAGGAAAGTGGTGATTAAGACAGAACATATTATGACTGAAAGGCCAGTTGGACTCTGATTGCAACTTATTTCAAAAGGCAATGCTAGATAGACGAAAGAGAGCCTTATGAGTAACAGCTCTTGAGAGGCAGGGAGTCCCATGTACAATGAGTGTCCAACCTAGAAAGCCCCAGAGTGTTAGTAGGCTCAACCTCAGAAATCCCACCTATCACAGCATATTAACCAGTTGCTGAATTTAATGATAGAGAAAAGATGAGGCTTAAAACAGATATAATCAGCTTTTCATAGATTATAATAATATTGTAAAAGTCAAAATATGTATCAGTGTAAAAACTTAAGAAACTTACGAACTTAGTAATTTCATTTACATATTAATTATATACATACACAAGAAAAGTACTTTTATTTCCTTTTACATAGTCATTTTAAAATTAGAATTAATTTATAAATATACCTTACCAACATGTGTAAGAATTGCAAAATTTTCAGAAAAGTTGAGCCCACTTATTTATTTAATAAATTGAGTCCTTAAATTAAGACTTTAAATAAGCATATCACTAAGATTATAAGACAGCAAAAAAATAAAAATTTTAATATATTTGCTTAATTAGTGTAAAGATTATGAAAATGTATTTATTGTATATCTTTACATATCTAAATATTTAATACATAATATTATTTGTTAAGCAGGTATTATAATACCTTACATTTTTACTGTGTAAACAATTATTTGATGAATTTGCATTTCTTGGAGATTGAGAATGAAAAGCAGTATATTGCTCTTAGCTTCAGAGCAAGCATCTCTTTATTTTTCTCCAGTAAACATTATACTTTTGATTGGAGAGAAAAAAATGAGTATTCATGATTTTTAAAGAGTAGATATTTAAATCTTCTTTATTAAGTGTACTATCAATTAAAATTTTATAAAATCAGTAATTAAAACCATATATCTCTAATGGTTACTTATCTCAACATAATCTGCTCATCTTGAATATCTTATTGACATTTTCTCTGTGTGAGAAAAGATTAGTTCCTTTTATTACTTGAGGGCAATAATGAGAACGGCCTATTTTTCATCAAGTACACACTCAAAATTGTGGTTGAGTCATGGTAGAATGTAGGCCATGACATCTAGATGAGGTATATGAAAATATAGCAAACTTTTCTGAGTGTAATGCCCCATCATCATTTTTAGCAATTTATTGTCTGATATCAGTAATGTTGGATATTTACAAGGGCTTATTTAAATAGAAACAGAAAAATCATTATGTTTCTCATAACAAGCTAATCGCATAGTATACACACCTGATTTGTGTGGTTTACTGAATTTTGTGAATTTTACATTTTTTACTTCTCTAAATTCATTTGTTTGTGCAGTCACCAGGAATCAGCATATTGGAGGTCACCCTATCACTTAAGGTTATAGAAGTAATGACATCATGAAAACAGCGATATCAGAAATAGGTATTCATGTCCTTGTTTCACAAAGTGAGAGAAGAGAGTAAGGATGTCAAGGCAAATTAGAAAAAAGAATGAGACATATTCACAAGTTAATGATCTGTGGAATTCTAGGCTGTATAGCTAAGATAAAATATAAAAATAGGAGAGTAGCATGTTTTTATTATATTATTTGTGGCTGGAATTAACAGGATTACTCCATCAGGTCTTTTCTAAATTAGGGCAGATCTATTCCCTCTTTTCTATCTTTCTGGTTTTATTAAATTTTGAACAGGAAAACAAACAACATTTTGTGACCAAGATTATGGCAGTTGCCACACAAGCCAGCAGGAACCCAATCACATCTATAGAGTGGTGCTGGAACCAGGTGAGGTTGTGGGCAGCTGGCCGCAGGTGCTTGGCTCCTTTGTGGCGCATGACAAACTCAATCCAGAAGACTGCTCGATCCAGGGGCTTTACAGGTTGTTCATGGTGAATTCTTGATAATCTCATAGCATTCTCTTTATAACTGGAAGGCAAAAACACACATAGAAATTAGAAAGTTGTATTTTTGTTTTCGCAAAAGACAGATAGGTAAATCGTAGTCTATGTTATGCAAGCCAAACATTTTTGAGAAAAAGATTGATTCTTTTGTGATATGAACTTCATTGGTTGCATAGCATTAAACATATAGTAAGGAGACTGAAAAAGAGTATATTCTTAACAAAATGGGGAAAAAATAAAGATGTGAATAAAAGCTTAGTAAATGAGTTGTTAACTTATACCTAATATTTCCATGAAGGAAGACTGACACTCTGTGAACTGTAATTTCCAGGACTATTCCAATACCAAGGTGAGGAATGACTCAATAATATGGGAAAACATTCCTTAAAAAGCCTACCAGGTTAATATTTAACATTTTCTGTTATGATGTATAACATAATCAATCTTTAATAATGTATAACATAATTTATGTATTACATAATCAGTCTTTACAAGCAGTAGTACTTACAAGGAATCATTAATGACTGTTCTCAAAGCCCTGAGTAAATCCTCACTTGTCATAGTTTTGAAGTTTATTTCTACAGCTGCTCCTTTGGCCTTCATGTGAGCGATGTTATCAGGCTGATCACCAAATATGGGAATTCCCACCATAGGGACCCCGTGGTAAATAGCTTCATAGATCCCATTTATTCCACCATGAGTGACAAAAGCTTTGGTTTTGGGATGACCTAGTATGAAAATTGGGTGATAAATGGTGATATAGTTCATCATAAAAATTTAAAGTAATTTCAAGACTAAAAATGGGAATTTTGAGATAACTCACTAAAGCATACAGTATTTTTTTTTAAAAGGTGAGCACATGGAGCACTGCTACTAAAAATCATTTCTATCTTAAGAATAGGAGGCATTAATTCCTTCTGCATTTCCTTTCACTCTTACCTTAACAATAGAAAGTATGAATCTATACAATTTTAGTCAATCCTTTATATCTGCTTCAAAAGTGTAAGTAAAATAAAGTTTCATAATTTTAAAATATTTGTTGAATGTGTTAGCTGTTTAGCATTTATTCATTTTTTCTTTTCTTTTTTTCTTTTCTTTTTTTTTTTTTTGAGACGGAGTTTCCCTCCTTACCCAGGCTGGAGTGCAATGGCGCAATCTCGGCTCACCGCAACCTCCGCCTCCTGGGCTCAGGCAATTCTCCTGCCTCAGCCTCCTGAGTAGCTGGGATTACAGGCATGCGCCACCATGCCCAGCTAATTTTTTGTATTTTTAGTAGAGACGGGGTTTCACCATGTTGACCAGGATGGTCTCGATCTCTTGACCTTGTGATCCACCTGCCTAGGCCTCCCAAAGTGCTGGGATTACACGCGTGAGCCACCGCGCCCGGCCTCATTTTTTCTTCATCGAGTCCATATTTTTACTTTCTCATAGTCCTACCAAGAAGATCATTCTGGGGTATCCAGTCATACAGCTGAGTATTGGTTCCTAATGTGGATGGTGTTTTTCCTTTGTATCTCCATAACACCTGTGGAAGAAACACATGTATTTCACAGATTGAACCACAGGATATTAGCATTCTGAGGATGTAGGTATAGTTATAAATTATAAACCCACTCTACTTTAGGTGATGGTTGAGAGGGATACATAGAAGTACTGTGTAAACACTGAAAGATACAGTAGGACTTTTCACAAAAGGCATTTTAAAATAATGTGTACCAGTTGCCTATTAACTATTATTACTTTATTATCAATTAAAAATATCTGAGAATGAGAACATAAATGAATAATTAAAAATAAGACAGCAATGGCTAATCAATTTTCATATGAGAATTAAAACTTTATAAATACATGATCTTTGTGTCATTTTAATTCACAGAACCATTCTAGTTCTACCATCAAATTTACAGTTTCCCACAGATAAAATTTGCTTTAGATATTGTGCATGTTTTGGATAAACAGTTGTCTTTTCTTCTCTATTTCCTTCCTGACCTCTGTTTTCTTATATTTAATTGTTTTATCGAAGAAGAATAAGATAGAGAATTTATGTTCTATTGTTCAATGAAAAATTTTGTTTGGGATTGTGCCTTTTTTACATAATTGATATTTGTGGGACACATAAAAATTTCATGCATTTGAAAATAAAGGATGGCACAGATGTTCAAACTACTTAACAGATAATTTCAAAATTAAAATTACAAGATTTTACATTCCTAATTACCATATTTGCCTTTACTGAGTTTGATGTATTTTAGCTAAATATAAAAGATATTTGGATAGTTCATATATAGCACTATCTACAGTGTGAAATTCTAGAATTACAGTAATAACAAAGTTAAAATAAGTTGAGTATCATAATTAGATTACTTAAATAAGTTACTATGATATAATTGTAATTGACATTTAACTCTTGAGAACTCTAATTATTTAGAAAGACTATGTTAATCTGACCTTTTATTTCTATGCAAAAGTACCCTGAATTCAATTTTTATACACACACATATGTGAAGAATATTATTGAGACTGATTCTTCTCTATATTTTTTTATATCAGTTTTCCCTTTTCTGGTCCTTGGAGATAATACATGTCAGAACATTTTTTGGAATAGGTGACACAAGCCTTTAGATATCAAATTCTAAAATATGAGATGGGGCTTAATTTATTATTTCTATTTTATTATAAACAAATGACAATCAAGAGCAGTGTTTTCATAGTAACAGCAATACTCAATAGGCAAATGATCAGTTGTGCCCATATACACTATTACAATTCTTTACAAATTTTGGTATAAATTTTGGTGCCTGTTATGCTCAGTGGAAAATGAGATTCAAGATCCAAATAAAAGCTGTACTTTCTCATTATGTGAGTAGCAGTTTATCAGAATTGGAGGTTTTACTGACCTTCTGTGGAATCTGGGCAAGAGCTGAAGCAATAACATTAGCTGTTTCTTCTGGAACATTTTGTAACAATGACCCCAGGGAAAACACCACAATACCATCTTCCCCTGAACTCTGGACAAATTCTTCCATTTCCTGAAGACAAAAATGTCTCTGCATTACAGTGGTGTAATATTACAAAGATTAAAATAAAGGTTACTTACACGTCTAAAATAAAGAGAAATTATTAATGTATAGTTACATGGCAGAGAAAGAGAATTTTTTACACACTATTGAAGGGAATGCAAATTAGTATAATCAGTAAGAAAAACAGTATGGTGGTTCCAAAAAAAATTGAAAATAGAACTGCTATATGATACAGTAATTTCATTACTGGCTATGTATTTCAATGAACTAAAATGTCATAAAGATATCTGTCCTTCCATGTTTGCATCACCATTATTCATATAGTGAAGAGATAAATCAACCTAAACATCCATTAATGAAGAAATACATAAAGAAAATATAAAAAAAGTACATATATATATGTCTATTCCATTGGATAAATATACACACACATTTGAATATATATATATATATAGTGTATATATGTGGTGTGTGTATATATATATAGTGTATATATATGGTGTGTGTGTATATATTTATATATATATATAGCTATATATATCCATTCCATGATATAAATATATGTAAGCTTTATTTCTGTTATATATTAGCTTTTTTATAAATAGCATTCTCCACTGAATATGTGTGTGTGTGTGTATATATATATATATGTGTGTGTGTGTGTGTATATATATATATGTGTGTGTGTATGTTTTCTCCAGTGTGTCTATATATATCAATTTCATTGGTTATATATTGAAAAAAGGAGAATGAAATCTTGTCATTTGTAGCAACATGAATGAACCTGCAGGACATAATGTTAAGGACATAATGTTAAGTGAAATAATCCAGGCACAGAAAGACAAATAATGCATGGCATTCCTTACATGTGATTCTCTTATAGGTAGAATCAAAAAATTTAATCATAATAGAAGTAGTGAGTAGAATTGTTATTAGAGGATGAAGAGGTAGTAGGCAGGGCAAGGAGAAATGGTAGATCAGTATATACAAAGTTGTAATTAAGAAGAATAAGTTCTGTTTCTATATTTTTTTGTTGCGTAACTATAGCTAATAGCAATATATTACATATTTTAAACAGTTAGAAAGAAGGTTTTTAATGTTACCACCACAAAGAAATAATAAATATTTAAGGTAATGAATTCATTAACTATCTTGATGTAATTACTATACAATGTATAAATGTATTGCAGCACATCATACCTCTTAAACATGTGCAATTATTACATGTCAATTTTTTTAAATAATAAGAATAAATATTTAGTGTAAGACGGCCCTAAAATCTGTCTCAATTAAACTTTTCAAATTATAAGCACAAAAGCTTTTACTTAACTAATTATTACTTCATGGATCTAACTTTTTAAAAAATATTACTTCTGTAATTATTTTCACGTGTGTGTGTGTGTGTGTGCGCGTGTGAGCGTAAAAGTGGCAATGTGAGAGTAAAGAGTAGTTTGGCATGGGAGATTATCTAGAGAATGATGTAAATTGTCAGTTCTCCTTCTGTATCTCTACTTTAGATAAAGATGCCATAGCTTAAGAGGGCTTGATTTTCAGGTATAAGTTTCCTGGTAAGTAAAATAATATTTATAATTAATAAATAAAAGTATATTTATCAATACACATCTTAGTATACTATATATATATAATTTTTTTTTCTTTTTTTTGAGACGGAGTTTTGCTCTTGTTACCCAGGCTGGAGTGCAATGGCGCGATCTCGGCTCACCGCAACTTCCGCCTCCTGGGTTCAGGCAATTCTCTTGCCTCAGCCTCCTGAGTAGCTGGGATTACAGGCAGGCGCCACCATGCCCAGCTAATTTTTTGTATTTTTAGTAGAGACGGGGTTTCACCATGTTGACCAGGATGGTCTTGATCTGTTGACCTTGTGATCCACCCGCCTCGGCCTCCCAAAGTGCTGGGATTACAGGCTTGAGCCACCGCAACCGGCCACGACCAGTATTTTTTTTATGGAAATCCTACTGGCTTTGATACCTTCCTAATAGGATTTTGATTATATTCCCATAAAACAAGAAATGAGGGTTTTTCTTTTTGCTCTGTAGTGATAGGTAAACCCAGTATTGTTACCATAGCTATTGTAGTAAATTCTTATAATTTTATGTTATCTGGCTATTCATTTAAAATATTAGTTGAACTTTTCCATACCAGAGCAGGTCTTAGTCAACATTAACACTGTTTAAAATCTTCCACCTTCTTCAATTTCCTCAATGAGTTCAGTCAGTATCGTTACTTACACACTGCCTCCTGATAACCATCCTATAGGACAACTAGATACAACCCACTTGGTTTGCATCACTGATCCTCCATACACCAAAAGGACTGTGCAGATATGCCAAAGTGACTACCTCTCAGTCTCAGAATGACTTCATGGAACTTGTGCCTGCTTGCATTAAACCTATCAATTACAGTTCCTCATTGGAAACTCACCTAGGTAACACCCTGGACCCCAGTTAACATTTTGGCACACAGATCCCTTACTCTCTTTTTTGTTCCCCATTCATTGGTTGAATGCACTTTTCCCAAACAGGTTTCTTCTTCCCAGTGGCTTTACAAGGAATGCTGAACTCTTTTTCTCTAGAAATGGTGAAAGTACACTGCTTCCATTGTTTTATGTATTTTGTTAAGTTGTCTCCCCTGTTTCTCACTTGACCAACACAAACATAACATCTCTCCTGGTTAGGGTTTCCTACAGAGTGTTTATGTTTGGAGAAATGAAGAAGACATAGGTCATACAAGAGACACAGTCGTGTCTTCCAGTGTAAACACATTTCCTCTGAGAGACAATCTTGGTATCAATTGCACACTTCGGCATTAGACTGTTCATCAGAATAAAAGGTATCCCATGAAAGGTAGATCATGAACATCCGCAACTAAATACTTTAGAACCTTGTCAGGTCAAGGCTAGAGCTAAGAGCCACTTTTGGGACAGAGAACTCAAGACATATTTAAAAAACTAATAAAGAAAACTGTAACAGCTATTACTTGCTTTTGCTTCTCAAAACTATTTCCTTCAACATTTCTTGAAGTATAAATTTATTTCCTTGGATGATTTAGGAATATAGTATACAATTTTATTTTCACTCCAAAAGAAACCCGTGATAAGGCTGAAAAATTATTTCTATGAGCTCCACTTTATGCTAATGACTATCACTAGATTTCTGTCTACAGAGAAAAAAACATTGTCTTTCTCAAGTGATTTTTATAAAGCCTATCCTAAAATTCTCACTAGCTCTAAGTAGTCACAACCCAGAATTCATCATATAAATTACAAACAAGATTACTTCTAAGTATTTATTTGAGTAGAAGCCATCACTATCATTAAACACTTAAACTTTCAATTAATAGAAATTTTCCTTTATTTCTTGTCTTCCTTCATCACTTATTTTCTCTACTCACCAATTCCTGTGGAATATATTCAACATGTCTCATGAAAATACACTTATTTCTGTACTATCATGATAAATGCTCTCAATCATAAGCTCAGTTCAATTGTGAGAAAGGCTAGAGCATTCTTTTTAGTGATCTTCATGGCTCCAATTCTCTATTAATTCAACTTATTATCCAAACTATTGTAATACTGGTATTAAAAAACCTACTCTAATCATGTCATTCTTCTGCCAAATTTCTCAATATAATGCCAAAAAGACATGTATCATCTATGAGAGCCCCTGTGACATGGAAAATAAATGGAGTTGCAAACAGAAGACATTCAACATCATCTTTCTATAAGTCTGTTTGATTTTTTAAGAGAAAAACTGAAATCATGTTTTTAAGTACATACTATTTCTTAATACAATAGTCTTACCTTAGGCAAAGGTTTTGCAGGTTTACAGTGCAATCCTCCAACAAACTCAAAATTAGGTTGGTATGGTTGAGGAAATTCAAAATCCCAATTTGTTCGTATTAGCCATATGTCAGCTTTTCCCACAGTCTCACATAATGTAGTGGGCCTTCCTAAATGAAAGAAATAATAGAATGAATTAGCATACAATTTAAATAAAAAATTGTACCACTAATTTTTCAATAAACTATTAAGAAAATAATAATTTTAGTCCCTCTAGAGCAATATGGCTTTTAGGTGTTAAGTGAAAGGGGATATTAGTGAAATAATAAAGAAGCAAAGAAGAAAAAAAAGAAAGGAAGGATAAAAGGAAGAAAAGAAGGAAGGACAGAGAAAGGAAGGAGGAAAGGAAGAAAGGAAGAACATTACATTAAGTGTATTTTCACAATTTAAAAAAAGACACAACTCCAAACTACAAATAAATTTATTACATTTTTTTTTTTTTGCTTCTCCAAGTGAATTTCAGATGATAGATTAGTCCCACAGTATCTTCATCAAATCACATCTCTGTGTTTTCTTATCTACAGTCAGGGATATATCTTTCAATAATCCCACTTTATTATTGAAAAAGTCCACTTTTTAATAATATTATTATTAAAGTCCACTTTAACTTGCTGTATTGCATATCATTACTTCAATTGATAGGCTACTGTTTTATTAGTAGGAATTCCTTGACTGATTTTTACCCATGACAATCCTCTGGATTGTGAAACACGCATGTACATACTATGACTATCGGACACTTACTTTCTTGTTTCACTCAAATGATGTGTTTTGAAGGAAAACATATTTTCAAGTTTTAATTTTAGGTTTTTAATCAGAAGGATGATTAATTGCAAATAACTAAATACTTAGTATATCTACAAAAACATATTTTGCAACCGATAACAAGATAAAACCCCTTAAGATAATTTGTTTCTCTTTAAAATTCTCATCAAAGTTCATAGTGTTATATACCATAGTATGGAAAGCCTCTGTTTAAGGTAATCACATATTAATGTTTGAGGTTATTTCTAGATCATAAATCCAAATGCGTTTAATTTGATAGTGAATAAATTTTACCGAAGATACTCAGTTTGAAATTATCAGAAATTAGAATAGAGCTATCTCTCAGCTTTGAAGCAAATGCATTTATGTCCTTCAGATTTGTTTTCTGTGCCTTACATGCTGCCTGCATTACCAACCTCTAGGTGATTTTCATTAACATGATATTAGGCCTCATTTAAGAAAGACTCAGTTTTAAACAATTGGAGTCAGTTTATATTTAAAGGATTAATTCACAGTAACGTGTATAAAGGTGATCAAAGGAAAGAAAATTAAATTTACTTTTTATACTAAAGTAGTTAAACAATTTCACATCTTATCTGAAATGCCATACACACATATCTTGGAGATATTGTAGGTTAAGTTGCAGTTCATCTCAATAAAAGGAATATGCCAGTAAAGTGATTCACATAAATTTGGGTCTGATAAACATATGAAAGTATACATACTTTTATGTGTTTATCACGTCTCAAAAAAAGTACATACCTTAAATAAAAGTATGACTAAAAAGTGCTAATAATCAGCTGAGCTTCAGCAAGTGAGGTTTTTTGTTTTTTTTTTTCTGCTTTAGGGTCTTGCTTCAATATTGATTACTGTTGATTGATCAGGGTGGTTTTTGCTTAAGGTTGGGGTTGCTGGGCAATTTTTTAAATTAGACAACAGTGAAGATTGCTGCATAAATTGACTTATCCTTTCGTGGAAGATTTTTCTGTAGCCTGTGATGATGTTTCATAGCAGTTTACCCACAGTAGTATTTCTTTCAAAATTTGAGTCAATATGCTCAAATCCTGATGCTGCCTTATCAACTAAGTTTGTGTAATATTCTAAGTCATTTGTAGACATTTTAACAATGTTCACAGTATTTTCACTGGGAGAAGATTCCATCTCAAGAAACCAATTTCTTTGTTCATCTATAAAAAGCACCTGTTAAAAAGCACCTCCTCAACTGTTTTAGTTTTATCATAATATTATAGCAATTTAAACACACCTTCAGGCCTGCTTATAATTCTATTTCTTTTTCTATGACCACCCCATCTACAGTTAATTCCTCAAATGATATCTTGAATCCCTCAAAATAAATCATCAAGGAGAGTTGGAATCAACTTCTTCCAAACTCTTGTTAATATTAATATATTGCCTTCCTCTCATGAATTATGAATAATCTTAATGTAATGTAGAATGGTAAATCCTTTTGAGAAGATTTTCAATATACTTTCCCCATCAGTGAGAGCTATAGCCTTATAAAATATATTTCTACTGTAAGGCTTGAAAGTCGAGGTTATGCCTTGATCCATAGGATGTAAGATGGGGATAATGATATCAAGTATGTAAACAACATTAAGATATGCACATCTTAACCAGAGCTCTTGGGTCACTAGGTGAATTGTCAATAAGCAGCAATATTTTTAAATGAATGTTGTTTTTTGAGCAATATGTCCCAACAGTGTGCTTAAAATATTCTATAAGCAATGTTGAATATAGATGTGATATCATCCAGGCTTTGTTCTTCCATTGATAGAACAAAATAGATTTGATGTAATTATTTAGAGTCGTCTATAATTATTACAATAGTAAATGAGCATTGGCTTTAACTTTGTCATCAGCTGCATTAGCCACTACAAGAGATTCAGCCTGTACTTTGCAGTTTTGAAGCCAAGGGTTGACTTCGCCTCCCTATGAAAGTCTTAAATGGCATCTTATTCCAACAGAAGGCTGTTTTGTCTACGTTGAAATCCTTTCGTTTGGTGTAGCCACCTTTACTGATTATACTAGCTAGGTCTTCTTTATAATTTTCTTCTGCTTTGCAGTGAACTTTTACATCGTAGAGGCGGTTTCTTTCTTTAAATCTCATTAGTTAACCTCTGCTAGCGTCAGTCTATTTTTCTGCATCTTCCTTTCCTCTCTGAAGCTTCATGTAATTGAATGATACGTATTAGTTTTTAGCTAAAGCCAAAACTTAAGGCAATGTTGTGGCTGGTTTAATTTTTTTTCTTTTATTTTTTATTTATTTATTTTTGTAGAGGTCTTGCTTTATCACCTGTGTGGAGTACAGTGAAACAATTATAGCTCACTGCAACCTTGAACTTCAAACTTTTGGGCTCAAGCCATTCTTCCACCTGAGCCTCCTAAGTCACTGGGATTACAGATATGAATCACTGCAGGTTGCTAGCTAATTTAATTTTTTTTTTTTTTTTTTTGAGATGAAGTTTCGCTCTTGTTACCCAGGCTGGAGTGAAATGGCGCGATCTCGGCTCACCGCAACCTCCGCCTCCTGGGTTCAAGCAATTCGCCTGCCTCAGCTTTCTGAGTAGCTGGGACTACAGGCGCGTGCCACCATGCCCAGCTAATTTCTGTTTTTTTTTTTTTTTAGTAGAGACAGGGTTTCACCATGTTGACCGGGATGGTCTCGATCTCTTGACCTCGTGATCCACCTGCCTCGGCCTCCCAAAGTGCTAGGGTTATAGGCGTGAGCCACTGTGCCCGGCCGCTAATTTGATTTTCTAGCTAGACAACTACAACTCTCTCTATATCAGCACTGATAATGTTTATTTGTTCTTATCATTTGTATGTAGCACTTTTAGTTTCCTCCAAAACCTTTCCTGTGCATTCACAACTTGTTTAATTGTTTGGCACAATAGGTGTAGTTTTTGGCCTGTCCCAGTCTTTGTCGCTATCAAGGAATAACTAAGGCTGTTTAACTTATAAAAGAGAAAGGTTTATTTGGCTCACAATTCCTCAGGGTATAAAAGAAGCATGGCGCCAATATCTGTCTCTGGTGAAGATCTCTGGTTCCCTCCACTCATTGTAGAAGATGTTGGAAGCCAGCAAGTGCAGGGATGAGATAATAAGAGATTAAGCAAGAGAAAGAGTGTGGATGTTCCCAGCTCTTTTTAATTATTATCTCTCCTGGGATCTAACAGAGTGAGAAATGACTTGCCCTTTTCACCAGGGAGAGCACTAAAGTATTCATAAGGGATCTACTCTCACGACCCTAACATCTCCTCAAATATTGGTGATCAAATTTCAACATAGGATTTTGTAGGGACAGGCAAACCATATTTGAACTATAGTACTCATTAAAAGTATTCCTTTCAACATTTTGATTTAAATCGAGGGACCTGCTACTCTTCTTTTCCCTAGAACATGTAGAGGTCATTTGTATGTTATATTACTGTGTCTCAGGATATAGAAAGGCCTGAGAAGAAGTGGGATGGGGAGACAAATCAGTGGAGCAGTTAGTACATGCACAACATTTATAATTTAGTTTACTGTCTTATATGTTAACAGATCAAGGTGCCCTAAAACTAGTACAAATGTAACCATCAAAGATCACTGATCCCAGATCACCGTAAAAGAGATAATAATAAAAAATTTGAAAAAGTATGTTAAATGCCAATATGTGATATAGAATCAATAAGTTTGTACTTACTGTTGGAAATATTATGCCAAATTGATTTGCTTGATTCAGGGTTTTCACAAACATTTAATTTGTAAACTACAATTTTTGTGAAGGACAGTAAAGCAAAGTATAATAAAATGAAACATGTCTGTTCATAAAAACTTATGGAGATTACACAGTGAATTAAAATTTACTGATATCCCTTTTCCTATAGTTGTTTTGATATGTGCGATTGATTTATATACATAATTGATAATTCTATAAAATGTGTAATAATCAATAATTTAGTAAGTTGAAGCTACAGAATAAATCTAGTTATTGAATAAATTTCTTATTTCAAGCTACTCAATGATCAAGTGAAATGATTTTTTAAAGAATTATTGGGGCTTTCTGAATGCATGGCCAGAACATATTTTGTTTATAGGAAAATGTTCTTTCACCCCTTTATTCATTCTTGATAATATTTTTGTCTTATTTTAAATTTCAATCTTATCAAGGGGCTTTAATTATAGTCCTATTATACCAAATTTTGGCAGTGACTTTCATCTCTGCATGTAGATGAGGCCAAGATGTTTGTATTATTTACCTACATCCATAAAGCCTAGTAGGCTATCTGCAGCTAGGCAGAGCTTACTGATTACTAAATTAATTAAAGCAAATCAATGCATGTAAATTCAAATCATGTCTAGAGCTACAGATATTTGAAGTGAGATCCTCTGAACATTAGTTCTGTGAAACAGTTTATGTATTAGAATTCAGTGGAATACATTAAACAATATTTTAGTGTCTAATATAATTGTTTCATTGTTCATGTTTCTACATATTTCTCAAACATAGTTGGATAAAAAATGCATCTTGCATTGACCACCTCAGATCACAACTTTGTATGAAAATTACAAAGTCAAACAACTTTTTTCAGTAAAGCAAATAAATAAAAATAAGTCAAATGGATATGTATCAGTAAACTAAAACTTTTACTATATATGCCCTACAAGACCTTAAGTCTTTCAACTTTTTATAATATATTTTCAAGTTTCTACAAGGTAATCATCTAAGAAATTAAAGAATTCTAGAAAGTATTTTGATTTAACCACTCAAAATAATAATTCAAAGAGAACTTTCTGAAGATTTAAAAAAAATTTATGATGAGGGAGAAAAGAATGATTTGCATCTTATTTCAATAGAAATGATAAAAAATTAAGAGTAACAATCAATGATTCTCAAAAATATGTGATGTAGATTTGGGCTATTTGGAGGAAATGCAAAATATAATCTCTGTTAATGATGGTTATTTTTAAGTTTATTACTGGTATTAAGAAAGTAGGTTATCTTACTCTTACAACAAATATAATTTCTTTATGAAGAACAGCTACAACATTTTCTAAAATAAAAACTCATTATACTGCATATATGTGTCATAGACTGTGTACAATTTAAAAAAATATATCTTTTGATAACTAAATTAAAAATAAAACAAGAGTCTCTTACCTAATACCTTACTATAAAACTCTTTCCAAAAATGATGGTCATAATCCTGAATGCAGAAGTTGAAGAGAACTGAAAGCACTGAATTTTGTACTCTTTCCAGAAAGGTCATTTTGTCTGTTAGTCCTGTCATAGGTACAGGCACATAGGAAAGTGGTGCTGGAAGTTTCCCACAGCTTCGCTCCATATTGCCTCCTACAGAAACTCTAAGTGTGAGCACAAAAGGAACTCCAAGCAACTCAGCCATCAGATCTCCACAGGGAATCACAGGGTCTATAAGCATTACATCATAGTTGGTTTCCTGTAGCTTCTCCATAAGTGTCTGATTGTAGATAAAGCTCTCACAGATCATTTTGAAAGTTTCTCTTGTTTCAACAAAAAAATTATTTAATTTTATAACTGATTGCCAGGGTGGTAAGCCTGGCAAGACATTCAGAACTAGGTCAATAAATCTTTCTGGACAATCTGTTATGTCCTGTGGCATATGGGCCACCTCAAATTTCAGTGCAGAAGGCTTCCTATAGTCAATTAAGACAGTGTTTGAGTGAGTCAATACGGTTACCTGATGGCCCCTTGCTATGAGCTCCTCCAGAATGACCTTGACATTAAGCCAATGGCTCATGTCACAGGGCCACACCAGGACCTTCCCACAGAATCCATAGCTAGCAAAGAAGAGCTGCAGGAGCAGAAATACCAAAGCTGACTTCTCGGACCTCATAACAGCAGCTTTCTCACGCACTGGTTGGCAATGGTTTTGTAGTTCCTAAGCATAGAGCTGAAATGGCAATATAATAAGCACAGAAGTTAAAATTTAATATTTTAAGGGTAAAGTTCACTGGTTGTTTGCCAGTTTAACATTTATTTAAGGTATCAAAAAGAAATGCAAGGTATCAGGGAAAAGTTGTTCTGACCTTCTAGAACTTAGAGATAAAACACATAAACATATTTTTATTATTTGAATTGATTTTTTTAAAAGTTAAACTCTTTAGATTTAATAATGTATGGGCAGAAACATATGCACACAACCACACTTACATTCATTCCACACTAAGTCCAAGGTGTCATATGGTTTAGGAGAACACATGTTCTACCTCCCTTTCTCACAAAGACAATACAATAATTTACAGAGAATACACTTGGAGACTTTGGTAACTATTTTGATTAATTTTGTATAATAAGTACACAGTGTTCAGTATTTCGGAGAGGGAAAAAAAGCACAATTGCTTTTTTCCTAATTATTAAACAACTCTATGTAGATATTGTTAAACACACACTCTGAATGAAGAGACACCCTAAACTTTGTGTGAATAACATGGCTGTTTATTTATCCAGGTGTTGGTGAGCTGAGTCCGAAAAGAGACTCAGCAGAAGATAGGAATCCCACTGCCTACCCCAAACCAGTTAGTTTTATAGGTTTGGGGTAGGCAGTGGAAAGTTACAGAAGTTTATAGTTCAGGGTGGTTTTTGCAAGCTGGGAGGGGGTCAAAAGGACTGGAGTCATGAGGTTGACCTGTCAGTTGAGTAAGGTCGGTTATGCAGTACAGCTGACTTATCAGTTGAGATGGGAATAAGGAACAATAGAAGAATGTCTCAGAGTTAATTAGGCTCTGCAGAGATTGGTCATTCTTCTCTTTTTTGTGTTTTCTTTTCAGTTACTTCAGACTTTCTAGTTCCAGGAACTCATTTGGAGTGTACCTGCAGGCCACAGAGGTCACCATGACGTAGTCCATGGTGCATTCAGTCAGCCTAAAAGACCTTACATTCATGTCTTTTTATGTTAGTAATATAAAGGAAAAAGAAATGAAGAGAAAAGGGTAGTGGAATATTAGGAAGGCAAGCACAGAGGGGTGATGGAGTGATGTTTCTCAGGGATTCTTCAAGTGGAATTGCAGGTGGCATGGAAAACTAAAAATGGGAAAAATTTAGGCTTCAGGAGATCTTGGGGCAAGGTGTGACATTGTGGGGTTGTTATAGGGAGCATTTATTATATTGACTGATTGGTTATCACTTGTGAATGATTTTGTAGGAATTGAGAGATTAATTGGAAAACACAGGGTCCAAATAATAGAAAGAGAAAGATAGGTATCTGGACTAAGGATTGGAAGAAGCCGTGACATACAGTTAGAGAGTGTCCAGCCAGTCCAGTGAGGTCCAGAATAATCATTTGCCTGATTAGCAAGCTTTTGGGCTCTGTCTTTCAATCTATTGATGGGATCATTTGTGAGGTTAGACTGGTTTACATAAAAACAACATTCTTCCTTTAGGAGTAGACAAAGACTTTCTTTATCTGCAGTCAGTAAATCAAGACCTCTGGGGTTTTGGAGGACAACTACAGCCAGGGAATTTACTCGAACTTGAAGAAGAGATAGTGATTGAATTAATTCTGCAGTGCTATCAGAGAAACATTAGAGAGGCTATGGAAGGTGATGATTGAAGTGGTAAGGCCTGCTATGCCTGTGCTGAGTGCAGTAGTAATTCTTAACCCTACAAGTAAGGGGATCAAGAAAATGACCTGCTTGTGTCATGTTGGGAGCACAAGGGGGCTGGAAGGCTTTGTCTCCATTGGCAAACTGAATTTTGGGAGTATGAAAAACTAGAGTGCAGGTGCCTGTCCAGTTGGTAGGAAGGCAGATGTAAGAAGAACCACAGAGGAAAAAATGTTCTTGTCTTAGACAGAACTAGAAGTGTAAACTGAAATAGTGAGAAAGTGTTCTGAGGGGGATGGGGCTTTGGACCCAAATGCCAAGGGAACCAGGAAGGGCTGGAGCCATTAAAGGTTGTAGTGGGGTTTGGTATGGTAACTGTGTGAAGACTTTTCATGGTGTAGGAGGAAGCATGTGTTATCTACAAGTAACCACTCACTTTCATTAAAAATATTGAGTATGAGCAGACAGGAAGATGGGTCTGGAAGAGAGGAGCATGGTGTAGGAAGAAGCACATGGTATCTATAAGTAACCACTCACTTTCATGGCATAGGAGGAAGCATGTGTTATCTACAGGCAACCACTCACTTTCATTAACAAGATTGGGTATGAGCAGACAGAAAGAGGGGTCTGGAAGAGGGGTCTGAGGAGCAAGGGGAGGGCAGCCAAGGATGGAGTGAGAGACAGGATAAATGCCTACCTAGGCAAAACTTGAAGTATATTTGTCAGTCTTGTGTAGGGGAAATTCTGCAGGCCTGATGTGTAGGAAAAGGAGGAGGTCTGAGAAAGCCTTGAGGAGTAGTAGAATGACAGATAGAACATTGAAATGTGATTATTTTGAGAATGGACTTCCATGATGGAAAAGAAATAAGGGGTTCTAAAAGATGAGCCAGAGGCTTGTATTCTACATGGAAATGATTATGAAAGTATGAGAGGATAGGGTGAGCTTGTGAGGCAGGGAGGAGGAACTTCCCATTGTATAAGACCCATTTGCCTCATGTAGGAATCAACTGGTAAAGTGAGTTTTCATAGGAAAAATAGGTAAGAGAGATAGATGAGAAGAAAAATACTGGCCTTGTTGGGGCAATGCTGGGATGTCTGTTGCTTCTTGCTGCTTCTTTGGCTGTTTTGTTGCTTAAGGCATTTCCTTGGGCAAAAGAATCTGATAGTTTTTGCTATCCTCTGCAGTGGCTAACTCTGGCCTTAGCTGGAAGAAAAGCAGCCGTATGGAAAGCCTTTATTAAAGGGGCATTGATAATAGAGAACCCCTGTGTGGTGAGAAAACTTCTTTCTGCCCATAGGGTGGGATAGTGGTGTAGGATGTGGAAGGCATATTTAGAGTCAGTTTAGATATTAACATGTAGTCCTTTGGCAAGAATAAGAGTATGGGTTAAGGCAATTTTTTTACCTTGCTGAGAAGTGGTGGTGGGGGGGAGTGTGACAACCTCCATAATAGATGAGTGGGATACAACAGCATAACCAGCTTTGACTAGTGCCAACCAACTGGTCTTTGAAGAGCTGCAATCAATAAACCATGTGTGGTCTGGGTTTGGAATAGGAAAAAGAGAAATATGTGGAAATGGGGAGGATGCTGTATGGATTAGGGAGATACAGGAGACTGTATCTCCCTAATGGTGTTAAGGGTTTAGGTATTAAGTGAGCGGCTGGTTTGAAGTCATGTTCAAGAGCAATTGTTACTGTAGGGGTTTCAATAAAGAGTATATGCAGCTGGAGAAGGTGAGGGGCTGAAAGTAAGTGTGTGAGGTGTGAAGAGGAAACTAAACTTTGGAGATTGTGTGAGCTATAGGGAGTAAGTGGAGCGTAGCCTGCAATTTTTTTTTTTGAGACAGAGTTTCACTGTTGTTACCCAGACTAGAGTACAATGGCACGATCTCGGCTTACCACAACCTCCACCTCCTGGGTTCAACCAATTCTCCTGCCTCAGCCTCCCGAGTAGCTGGGACTACAGGCACGCACCGCTGTGCCCAGCTAATTTTTGTATTTTTATTAGAGACGGGGTTTCATCTTGTTGACCAGGATGGTCTCTATCTTTGACCTCGTGATCCCCCCATCTCAGCCTCCCACAGTGCTGGGATTGTAGGCATGAGCCACCATGCCTGGCTGCAATTTTAAGAGATTCTAGGAGTGTTACAAGCCACAGTGGCTGTGGCATGAAAACATGATGGCCAGCTTAGGACTGTGAGGTCAAGTTGTTTAGACAAGAAGACAACTGGTCGTGGGTCTGCCTCTTGTGAGAGAACTTCAAGTGTGCTGCCTTTTATTTCTACTGTGTGAAGGGAGTTGGGTTGGGAGGAGTAGGGGAGTGCTAGTGTAGGGCTGTTTCTAAGACTTTCATTAGAGAACTAAAGGTAGAATGGGGGTAAATTTGGGGTTTATGGGTTTAACTAAGTTTCCTTTTGTAAGTTTATAAAGCGGTTTGGTTAGGAGGGCAAAACCTGGTATCCAAGCACCTGGCTGTCCTTGAAAAGAAGACAGCGTGGAGTGGGTGGTCCTGTATTGATTAAAAAGGGGATAGACTAAGAAGCAAACATATCTTACAATACCTAGGAAGAAGAGAATCTGTTGTTTAGTAAATGGGGTTGGGGTTTGGGAAATTAATTGGATACAGTTGGCAGGAAGAGCACCTGTATGCTGGTGAAGAATTATACCTAGATAGGTAATTGAGGAGGAAGAAATTTGGGCTTTAGGAAAAAGTGTTTTTGAGGTTAAGAACAGAATAGTGAATTGTGGAAGACAGTATAGAAGATAGGAGGGTATAAGGGTTTGGCACAACTGGGTGGAAGGAAAGTACAATCTGATTGATGAAGCAGAGGTCTTGGACTATTCCATAGCTGGTTTTTGGACAGGTAGGATAGGGTAATTGTAAGGAGAGTTTGTAAGAATTAAAAGGGCATATTGTAATAGATGGGTGATAACAAGCTTTAGGCCTTTTAAAGCCTGTTGTGGGACGGGGTAGTGGAGCTGGGCCAGATAATGGTGGTTTTGTTTTAATGGGATGGTGAGGGGTGGGTGAGCAATGGATGGGGAGGTGGTATCCCACACCGTAGGTTAAGGTAGGGGAACATAAGAGGAACTATTGAGGTAGGTACAGGTTCAGGGAGGAGGGCAGCAATGAGGTGTGGCTGTAGCCCAGGAATAGTTAAGGAGGCAGACAATTTTGTTAGGATATCTTGCCTAATGGGGAATTGGACAAATGGGTATGATTAGAAAAGAATGTGGAAAGGAGTGCTAGCCTAACTGACACCAGACTTGGGAAGTTTTGAGAGGCCTGGAGGCCTTGCCATCAATTCCCACAACAATTATGGAGGCTAAGGAGACAGATCCTTAA